ATTTTAAAATATTATTCGGGCTCTCGGAAGTGAGTTTTTACACCAATGAAATATATCTTGTAAACTACTGGGCTAGTGATACCCTCAAGGAGTAAACCTCTTACAGCAGTGGCATCGACCCTGTGGTTTTAAACAAACACTCATTAAAGTCATCAGACTTATAATTTTGTACACCAGACGAGCGTTTCTTCTACATAAGACTCATCATTGGCGCTCGAATCAAAATTGTTAAAAAGTAAATTCAACTATAAAGTGGAAAGCATTTAGGATCTGAATTTAAAAAAGGCTCACGAGAGTCTGAATCGCTTACGTAATGTTTTGTGTTAATCTGCATCAATGATTATATATACTATTTAATGATTATCAATGTTCATTCAAACACTCCGTTTAAACTTTCGCAATTATAGTTTTTGCAAACTAGATCCAACATCAAATTATAAAAATTACAAAATATGTTGTTTTGGAAAATCGGACAAAAAAATCAAAGATGTCCACTGGCGGCCAACTTATCTACCCAGTCGGAACCAAAGGTGGAAAGTTGGAATAGGTCCTTCTATTAATCATTCCTGTCAACTTTGGTTAGAATCTGCACATTGGTTCTAGAGCAAATGACAAACAAGTTTTTCCCCGTATGGTTTTAATGAAAAATTGTTGAGCAGCCGCATCAACCGGTTGAGTGGACGAATCTCAACCAAAAGTAGTTCTAATGTAGACAGTACTGTTGTCATTAATCCTGTAAAGTTTCAAAACATATTGTTATGAAGTTTCAGAGGAGATGATTTTTGAAAATTGGCCAATCAAAATGAAAGATTGGTTCTGGCGGCAATGTTGTTCATTTGATTGAAACCAAAGGTAGAAAGTTAGTAAAGGTCCTTCCATACATCATTCCTGCCAACTTCAGTTACAATCTGCACATTAGTCATGAGCAATTGACAAAAAATTATTTCCCCATATGGTTTCAATAGAAAATGTGTACAGCCGCAACTGTTGGTTAAGCGCTAACCAGAAAGTATTGTTTTCATCAATCTTGCAAAGTTCATAATATTTCATAATGTACTTTGAGAGGAGAAATTTTTAAAAACTTGTGAATAAAAATCAAAGAAAGACTCTGGCAGAACCAATGGTGGATCGTTTTTAGAGGTCCTTCCATACATCATTCCTTCCAAGTTTGGTTAAAATCCGCCAAAAAGTTTCAGAAAAGAAGATCTTTGAAAACTGTCTAATACAAATCAAAGATTGCGTCTGTCGGCCATGTTGTTTATCCAACCGTAACTGATAGTGTATTATTTGTAGAAGTCTTTCTAGTACATTTTTCCTACCAAGTTTGGTTACAATACGCCGATTAGATTTAGGGGAGATGATCTTTGAAAACTGGCCAATAAAAAAACAAAGATGGCCTCTGGCGGCCATGTAGTTCATCAAACTGGAACTAATGTTGGATCGTTTGTAGAGGTCATTCCATACACCATTCCTACTAAGTTTTGTTACAATCTGCCAAGTAGTTTCAAAGGAGGAGATCTTTGAAATAGTTTACGATGGACGGACGGACGAATGACAACGACGGACAATGTAAATAAGTATTATTTTACATTTGTTTGTTATAAAAACAATATATATAAAAATGGATGACAAAATCATGAAAATCAGTTATGTATTTATGGGTTTTAATCATGGTCTTTTGCAGTTATATATTTTGCTGACGATTAAAAGCACTCCCCGTTTTAGTGATGCAAAAGTGTTAAGGTTTGCAAATGTTTAAGTTTGAACTTTTCTAAAATTCCGAAAAGTACTTCGGAAATATCAATGTTATAATGCAGTATTTTCTTTTAGTAAACCAGTTGACCTCCTGTTAAACAGAACATTTACATATTTGTTGATATAATGACCTTCGTAAAGACAAATCCAAAAACAATGATTATAATTATCATGGAAAAGTGATTATTTTGATTAATATTGACTTGTGACTACAGTTAACTATGCCAACTGATAATTGTTCCCATATTATCAAATAACCCTCCAAAAAACCTGTTTTGGTGATATTATTGAAGGTCAGTGTTTAAACGTCCATTGTGCTATTACAGTACACTTTGGATTGAAAAGATTGAATTAGTGGCGTAATAACAGAATGTAAATCCAAACTTGGTGTATGTATGTTGATTATGATAATTCAACTGGATCTAACAACTAATGTTAAGACATTAGGAGTTTTTCACGGTTACGAAATATATAATGATGATATATGCAGAAAAATAATTGATAAATTAAAAAATTGTGTCCACGTAAAATGTCAAGTTAAATGGGAAGGAATATTTAGAACCGATTTACATTGGAAAGAATTATGGGTAGGACTTAAAAATATGTGCATACAAAATAAAATAAAGGAATTTCAATGGAGGTCAATACACAATATCTTATACACTGAAAGTATAATTGAAAAAATGAAATTATCAAATGGAAAATGTCATATTTGTCATGATGACAATAACACAGAAACTATCCAACATTCATTTTTCAATTGCAGTACATCAAATTAATTTTGAATAAGCTTCAAGAAATACTTTTCCAATCGAATATAATAGGTATTTTAAAATAATTCATTTGTGGAAAAGGACATACTTTTAGGACTATATACAGGGATTCTCAAAGATGATAATTTTATGAACATAATTATTATATACTCTAAATGGACTCTTTGGAAAGTTAGGAATTCTATACAATTTAACAATCAGGCGATCTGTAATATTTGGAAATATAACCTAAAAAATAATCTAAAACTTCTTCTTCAATTGAAAAGATTTGATTTGATCGAAAAAAACAAATTAAAAACTGTAATTAAGAAAATTTAGGCAAATTTACTTCTCACATTGAACGAAGTTTTTATATTATTTTATAATTACATGTATACTCCCAACGAAAGTTGCAATATAATTCTAGTAATAAGATTACCATGCATGTACATTTTGGATTTTTGATATTTTATGTTCTTACCATATTATTATGGACAAGCAACTATATCTTTTTATTAAACTTATTTGTTATCAAAGGTTAAAGTGGACTTTTGTTTAGCTTTCTATTACACCTGGATAGATGGCATTTCTGTAAACAAGGAATCTTAGTCTGTTACCTGGACGACAAAGATAATTGTAAACAGGAAATATTTTGTTTGGAATAAAACGTTTATATGTCTTAAAAAAAACAAACAAAAAAAACTCGAGTAAAAAAGGATGTAAATGTTTGACTTTTCTGACTTTTGCCGAGATTTATGAGATTTATAACTTACAAATACACAACGTTCAGACCCTGCTTGTGATCAAGGGTCACAATAAAAAGATGATCGACGCTAAAAGCATAAAATAGGCTTTAAATTGTCAAGAATATATCAATGTAAGACTTCATTAAATTTAAGCTGCCAATGACTTCATAACGGGCTGTTTTTTTGTCATAATCTATCATTTTTTGTAAAGTAACTAGGCGATCACTGTCAGACAGTTCAGCAACTTCAATTTTAAGTCACTGCCAGCTTGTACATTGTGGTAATGGTCAACCAACTGGGTACTCACATCGATTTTGTTATCGCAAAACCAAAGTATAATTAAATAAGTATTTTCAATTTATACACATTTTGGGATGCTAAATACCAGGCAAGTCAATTTACAACTTTAAAGAATGCATGTCACATTCGAAAAAAGAGGACGGAATTATGGTTACAACGTTAACATCAACTTCCCCGCTTTGAAAATATTAGGTTAATAACTCCCTGACTACTGGGCTGGTGAAACCCTAGAGACAAAACGTCCACTAGCAGTATCATCGACCCAGTGGCTGTTAATACTTATCAAAGGTACCAGGCTTATAATTTTATATACCAGACGCTAGAATCATTATAGTTAAGACCAAATCAAATACAAAGTTGAAGAGTTTTGAGGACCCAAATACGGCTAAGGTAATCTAGCCGTGGGGTAAAAAACTTGAGTATTTCGAATAATTCATTGTTTATTTAAAATGATAATATCATTGATATTTCATGTCAACAACGAATATCTTACTACTGGGGTGGTGATATACTCGGGGACCAAACATTCACCATCAGTGCATCAACTTTTGGTTGTTTACACGGTACTCCGTCTTTTCCTCGAATATGACATCACCGAATGAAAACGACCACCAATTATGTACTTATGTATGAGCTACACGAAGGTACAATATATTTAGCTGTATCTACTTAACCTTTAAGGTCACATGATGATACCCCGAGTTGGTGTGGTGTGTGTGTTGCTCGGTCTTTAGAAAATAATGTTGTGTATCCTGAACCTAATTTTCCTGTTGTTGTGTTTAGTTCTATGCCATGGAATAGGTTTAATTGTCAATTTTGTATCTTTTGCATCTCTTGCAGGCTATATTAGCTTATATAACTGCTTTTTATCTTCCAAATTAAATTCAAATATTGACAGTTGTAGCTACATTTTAATTCACAAAACAAGATTTATAGATTTATGTGATACATACCGCAATGTAACAGAGAAAAAGTTAAATGATAAATAAAGGCAACAGTAGTATACCGCTGTTCAATAGTCATAATTCGATTAAGAGTTAAACCAAGGGAAACACATCAACTACAAGAAGAAAACAACGGAACAACAAAAACACCGAACTACAACAAATGCAAATACCAACATACATAGAAACGGACTGTCTGAAAAACGACTGCCATATTCCTGACTTGGTACAGAAAATTTTTAAGAATAAATGGTTTGTTGAACCTGTTTTTAAGGCTAGCCAAACCTCCCGCTTATAAGGCAATGTAAAAAAAAAAAACGCGAAAATTAATTCTAGTGAGGCAAGACACAATTTCTTATCCGTAAATTTTTTATAATGTAAATATCAGTTTCCTTCCTCAAAACTCTGGTCAATCATTTTAACATTTTTTCCTGAATATCTAAACAATACACCATATGCAAGTAAGCTTATTTTTACAATCTATAAGAAATTTACAAAATTACTTTTAGATGCAATAATCTAAGGTTTCATCATTTATTTAAAGATTCACAACAATAAGTTTAACTTTTCCCGATCTCTGACATCTTGTTTAACTCGCTATGAACCTATGACTTATTTTACATCGACAGTTATATACCTGCACATTTGAAATCAAATAAGAATGTAAAAGTACTGGAAAGAGGAAAGTGTTCTTTCGACATACCCATGTTTCCGATGTGTTTCCTACATTTGTTCTAAATTATTATATCATTTCATTACTTATCTCCAAGCACCTGTCGACGGTCCCAAAATTGTCCTCATCAAAAAAACACATTTCTCTAATTGCTAATTCAAGATCCCGAACAGCATTACGTTTTCCACTGGCGTCGTGAAGATGATGAAAGCACAACAATAATAACATATTACAGTAAACAACAGGGGGGATCTTGACATATTTACAAATTGTTGTTAAAGTGATCAGTTCTGTTGGCAGTAAATGAAATGGATGAATAAATCGTACGTCTTGAAGTATAAAATGTTTACACGTCAGGCATAAACCAACTGCTTGCTTGATTTTCTGGAAAACAGTTTGTTCTTTTAAACTATTTGACACACGCACATATAATTTATCTGTCGTACACTTGGAAAGACAATAGGTTATTATATCAATGCATAGTTGAAAACGCTTACATTTGTAAAAGAATGATGCTAACTGCAACCAAGATGTCAATGCATCAGAAAATAAACCAAGCATGAAGCCGCCTAATGTTATATTGTAATCTTTATACAAGGATTTGTTGCTCCTGTTAAAGATCAGCACGTTTAGCCTCTGTGTGCATTTGTTTAAACAAACAGACATCATGTATTTGCAGAATTCGTCGTGTGGAAAAAAAATGAAGGCCATTAGGGAACGTTTGATGGTTGCATGATCAAGTTTTAACATTCGATTTTGCATTAGAAAATGTGGATAAAAGAGACACGATAACGAAGACGATGTAAGGTCTAATATAGGTGAATTTCCTGAATCTGTTATATACTTTTGAAAGGTCGACGTAGCAAAAATTGACACCCAAGGGGACGTATATATCAGCCGTAGCGTATACAGTAATTCTGCTTGTTGTTCATCTGTAAATCTTTCATCAAACAGGTTGTTGTCTGGGATAAAATAATGTAGACATGTTTTATATTCTACACAGTATATAAGTCGTCTCAAACATTTCATGAAACAAGAAATCGTTCTTTCTGGTTTCCATTCTGAAGGATTCGATTCTTCACATAACCAAAACATTATTGTTTTAAGGAAATATGAACAAATGAGATCCCCGTGATTAGGTTTGATTATGTCTTTCAAAACGACTTTCAATAACGCATAACATAATAGCTGCGAGTGTGCAAACGAACAAATTAACTGTTTTTCGGCCATAGAAAATGAAATCCGCCATTCTATGTCCTCGCTTGGGGAGTTTTTACATCCAATAGGAACAAATAAAACACCATATTGAACAACTGTAGTAACAAGTTTATAATCTGGCCAAGTAGATCTTGGTCTATCTATCCACTGTTTAGCTTGTAAAATCCATTCTTTACATCGGAAACAATCAGCAATATCAAGTTTATCTGGTATAGATTGACAAGGACCGTGAATAACTGTACCAGGATATAATTCTGATTCCCTGATAATTTTGCTCGAAAGGAATGTGTCATTTCCAAACGTGTAAGACCATTTGTCCGTTAGTTGCATTGTGTTGGTGTGTATACGTACTTTGTTATACAATTTTAGTTTCGTAAATCCAGGTTTTGTATCTAAGTAGTCCATTAGCAGAGGTAATTTATTTGAGGTGTACATTTCATCCAAAACACCCTCATTCTCATCCATAATACTCTCATACACACGGAATCCTTCACGAACATGCATTTGATCGTAATCACTGCCCTTTAGATCAATACCTTCTGCTCTACTGCCACTACTTATAAATGTAATGTGTTTATAAGTATTACATGTATTAATTATAAAGTCCATAACTGTAAATATATTGCGCCTTGTTTTTACAACATCTTCAGAACCAATTATGTTACACAAGTAATGGTAAAAGTCACGTGAAAGTTCTTTGTCTTCTGTATAGTTCATGTTGGCAATTTCTAAATTAAAATATGAATTATGCAGAGATGATAATTCGACATTGTACCTGACAAAGCATCAATTCTATTACTTAAATTATTGATCTAACATCATCTGAGTAGTCAAAACATAAAACATTTAAAAAACATTTAATAACATAAACGGTACAAATTTTACAGTGCACCAGATGTACAGTTCGACAATAAAAGTAATTTTAGTGATGCGATACCAAACTTTAAGAAAATCCTGACAAGCCATTAAAAATTGAAGTCATGTTTAAAACAATACATTTTCTTAATTTATCAAAGTAATCACTTACTTATATTAGACTCTGTAATTTAATCAGAACATTCGTTTATCCTTGTGTCTGTCTGAATTTATGATTTTATTTGCGTGTTGTTATGGAATGTTAACCAGGATGAAAAGTGTCCAACAACTAGAACATCCACCTGTAATAATTATACTAGTTAAAGTATTTGATCCAATTCATTGAATGTCTACAAATGGTACACTAAATGTAATTATCTTTTGGCTTTTGTATAGAAACAATGTCTTCTTCATTTAAATATGTAAGCATCAAATAAAATTGCTGATTCGAAACGTCATTTTGATTTAGAAAAAGAGAAACAAAACACGTTAATTATTTGTGAAGCCTTAAAGTACATTTCCGTAAATCAAACACCTGTTGAAATATGCACATTATCTGTAAAACAACAATAAACGGTTGTTAAATGATCAATTATCAATTGCATGAATTGCCCTTTATCTGCAATCAGCCCTCCATTACCTATAAATACAACTAAACAGTGCTGTAAATACACATACATATCTCCGCCTATAAAGCAAGAAGTTTTTGTATATATCAAGATCGTGATGGCAAAGTGTGGATTGCTATTTAGAATCTGTCACATTTATAAACTGAATCAATAAAATCAAGGACCAATTTCCCATCCAATTAAATGAAAATGCAATGTAAGAACTTTTCTTTCTCTTTGTTCCCCTCGCATCTTCCTATGAAATTAAATTATAAAAGAACATGCACGGAATTTATAGGACTAAGTGGTTCTTTCACCTAGTAACTGGTCCCCGCCCCGTGCTTCTTTTTAAGGGGTGTATAATAAACCTTATTCTACTGCCAACAATGTGCGAGGAATATTTGTAACTGGACTATTACCTTTTCATTCAATTAATGCCCTATGTACACTACTGGTTCTTTTGCCATTTTACAAACTGCCAATCAATTAATCAATCAAGATTATGAATCTCAAATCAATTAAATCATGACTAAAAATGATCAATCCTGATTAGGAATCAATCAATAAATTGCACAGCGTAATGCTGGTTCCATTGCAATTTAACAAACTACCAATCAATCAATCAATCCATCATGATAAGGAGTACACTGTGTACTACTGGTCCTATTGCCAATTTTACAATGTTTCAATCATTCAATCAATCAATTATTATTTATAAATCATAATTAAACACAATCAATCAATCAATAAGTAATCAATGATAGGAACGACCTCTCAATTGTTCAAGAACAATCGGAATTTTTATTAGGGTCTTTCCAATTTCCAATGGAAAGACCTTACTGTTTTTCTTCTGATTATAATTATTATTCTTTTTCTCCTGCCACATATTTAAGCAAAGGAATTCAAAAAGTAAGCAACATATTAAAATGATCTATGATACCAAGTATTGGTTCATCGATATATATCTTGCAGTCAGAGACAACACACTCTCCGTTTATTTTGTTAGACTTATTTCCCTTGACTCTCATAACTATCTACAATGTTGTTTTTCAAATGCTCCTTTGGTCATGTCGTAACTTTTTTACATTTTGATCGAAACAATATGGCAACTTCGTATAGGACTTATCTCCCATTTGAAATTTTACTGTTTTGATATATAGTAGTAACTCATTAACTGTAAGCATAGGACTCATGGTCTTTTGATTTGAGATCACTTGAAAGATGATTTCAAGGTCAACGGTCAGGTCATGTTGTAGATTTTGACCTATCATTATACCTGCCAAAAATACCTAGAAACCATAGTTTTTAGAATCAGAACAAGTACTTAAATATGACTCTGGCAGTGACTTTGTTGAAACCGGAAGTTTCCATTTATTTCCATTCTCCTAGCTAAAAATGCCATAGTTATCGGGAATCAGTGAAAACAAGTACTAAAATATGACACTTGAAGTGACTTTGTCAAGAACAATTGAGATTTAATTAAGGTCTTTCCTATTTCTAATGGAAAGACCTTACTGTATTTCTTCTGATTATTAAGGTCTTTCCTATTTCTAATGGAAATACCTTACTGTATTTTTCTGATTATTATTATTCTTTTATTTCCGCCAAATTTAAAATAAAAGTACGTGACATATCAAAATGATGTTTGGTACCGATTCATCGTAAATAGGGGCTGCTAAGCCGTACTAATTTTCTTATAAGAGTTACATCCCTTTACTCTAAAAACCTGTGTTTGCTACTCCTCATTTTCAGTAAGAGTAAACGACAATTGATTTTTTAAATTGTTTCTTGCGACATGTCAAAACTTTTTGTTGCGTTTGTCCAAACTGAACATGGGAAATTTTTCGAGTTATCTGTCCTTCAATTCTTTCATTAAGCGATATGTAGGTGAAACTCAATAACCAAAAGGCGTAAACACTTCAGATTAGACTTTCTTATGCAAAATATTGAAAAGGTCAATTTCAAAGGTCAAGGGCATTTTTAAAATTTAAACTACTGTTTGTGTTTGCTAAAATTCTGGAACTATTAAAGATAGATTAAAAAAAAATGGTACATAATGTTTGGCTAACTGAGATTCAAATTTAGTACAATGGTCCAAAGCAATGCAATCACTCCCTACAAGAGTAATTGACCATGAAAAATTCAAATTAACAAGTGAACTGGATCAGCTTGGAAACTATGACAATAACGAGGTATACATGCATTCTTTTCCCGTAAAACATAATTATGCTGATTACATAGCCCGTCCCCCCTAATTAAAATGATGCACATACAATGAAAAACAGATATATTCTTCTTACGCCTGCTAGAATATGAGTATAATCTGAAAATCGTTTAAAAAAATACGAATTTAATGTTTATATGCCTTGATGTACATTTCCGTAAATCAAACACCTGTTGAATTGTGCAAACTATCTGTAAAATATTAATAAACGGTTGTTAAATAAGCAATTATTAATTGCATGCTATGCCCGTGCTCTGCTTTTAGCAATTCATTACCTATAAATACAATTTAAAGAATGCCGTTAATACATGTACAAATTCATGTTGATTGTCCATTGTCTCTGCCTAGAAAGGAATATAGAACCAAAGTTTCTGTATATATGACGATCGTGGTTATGTCACAGCAGTCTACAGCAGTATCTTTATTTAGAACATGTCAAATAAACAACGGAATTAATGAAAACAAGGACCAATATGAATATTCAATTAAAAGAAAATGCAACTTAATAACTTTTCTATCTCTGTGTCCCCCTTGCATCTTCCTATGAAATAAAAACTATAAAGGAAAATGTAAGGACTTTATAGGAATAAAGGGGGGGGGGTCTTACCTCTTTTATCTTAAACCCGCTCCTTCCTTCTCTAGTGGTGGGGGTGCATTAAATCCTATTCTACGTGTAAGTAATTACGAGGAATATTTGTCACTGGACATTAACTTTCAATCAATAAATTACTGTGTACATGTACAATACTGGCTCAGTTGCAATGTTACAAATTGCCGATCAATCAATCGAGCAAAATTATGAATCAACAATCAATCAATCATGATAAGGATTCAATCAATCAAATAATGATAAAAAATGATTATTAAATCAATCAATCATGATAAGCAAACAGTCAACCAATTATACTGCGTAATACGGGCCCAATTGCAAATTTGCAGATTGCCAATCAATCAACAGAGTAAAACTATGAATCACCAATCAAGTGATCATGATAAAGATTCAATCAATCAAATCATGATTTAAAATGACCATTCATTCAATCAATCATGATGAGGAATCAATCAACCAAGTACATTGCGTAATACCGGCCCCATTGCCGTTGTACAAACTACCAATCAATCAAACGAGCAAAACTATGAATCACCAATCAATCATTCATGATGAGGACTCAATCAATCGAATCATGATTAAAAATAATCACTCAATCAATCAATCATGATTAGTTATCAATCAACTAAGTACACTGCGTAATACATGCCCCATTGCCGTTGTACAGATTGCCAATCAATCAATCAATCAATCAATCATGATTGATGAATCATGATTAAAAATAATAAATCAATGATAAATCAATGGAAGGAAAGACTTTTTAATTGTTCTTGAACAATTGAATCTATATTTATTATTCTTTTTTTCCGCCACATTTAAAATTAAAATCCCTTAAAAAGTACACGACATATAAAAATGATTTTTGGTATCAAGTTTTGATTCAGCGTTAACTATATTGTGGTGAGGCTGCTAAGCCGTACTAATTCTCTTATAAGAGTTACCTCCCTTTGCATAAAAAACGTAGTGTCCGCTACTTCTCAGAAATTGAGAAATTGCCATTTATTTCAATTATCCAACCTAAAAATACCTATTAACCAGTTAAAATTAGACTATAGGCTTGAATTTAATCAAGGAGAGACCTTTGAATTGTTCAAGAACAATTAAATTTTACCTATTATTATATTTTTTTTTCAGGCTAGGTCAAAACTGATAATGTATACAGTTTAAAAACTAAACTTTAAAGAAATGAAGGGTTACTGTATTTGTCAATTTCAATGAAAAAAAAATATAATATGATGTTTTTTCTCTTTTAATAATTTACTTTGTTTTAAATTCTAACATTTCAATTTAATCATTGTAATTAATTGTACATTTCTAAATTTATCTTGATTATCCTGCTTGTAATGGGCGTCTTAAATTGACCCTCGGATGGGGACGTTAAATCCGAGGCCCCATGTACAGGGACATGTCACGCCCAGTGCATGTAAAAGACCCCTTCTGCAGATTTCGTTAAGAGTAGACTCTTTGGGGCCACTGCAGAGGCGAATTTTGTTAGCAACCCCTAAATTTATTCTTTGGTAGTGACACTCAAAATTGCAGACGCTGTAGTTGTATATGTCTACAATGGCTATAGGTGAAGGGGGAACGTTGAAATCTCACAAAACATGTTTAACCCCGCCGCATTTTTGCGCCTGTCCCAAGTCAGGATCCTCTGGCCTTTGTTAGTCTTGTATGTTTTTTAATTTTAGTTCATTTATACGTTTTGGAGTTTAGAGTGACGTCCATATTTATTGAACTAGTACACATTTTGTTTTGGGGCCCACTGAAGCCCGCCTCCGGATGAGAGATTTTCTCACTGTGTTGAAGACTATTGGTGGCGGTCGGCTGTTTTCTGCTGTTTGGTCGGGTTGTTGTCTTTTTATCACATTCCCCATTTCCATTCTAAATTTTATTGTATGGGGACATTTGGTTGGAAACCCACCCTTTTTATCTGACTTGATTGTGTTGGATCCCCCTTTTAAAATGGCTGGATCCATCCCTGGTATTACTCATTTTCCTCTCGAACTCAATTTTGCTATGTCTTGATTAATTGATTTTTGATTGCGTAATGTACAGTGGCAAATATGTCAACCGTGTTCTGGACGATGTGCTGTCTTGAAAAATTATTTATAAAGACATAAAAGTTATTTGATGAAGATTTCTTTCCCAAGTCAATCAAGCACGGTTGTACAGTTTTTGCTTCAGTCCCTAAAACTTCATCCAGTTCTTCAAAAAAAGTGACAAGTTTAAGGTGACGCTTAAATGACTGTGTTGGCCTCACTTATTTGATATTTTGTTGTAATGCTGTGAATCTGACATTTCAAGTGAATGGTGTAAATACATGTTTATGGCTATGCCTTGGTTAAAATCTTGGATAATAAAGCTATATGGGTTTTTTTTTTTAAATAAAAGAGCAATATTTGGATTATGGACAAATAGTTAAGATTATTATGCTTAATTCATAATTATCATTATTCAATATAATTTGATTTCATTAATATTTGTGATAACATTTACACAAGGCCTATATTGACTATCGATTCCATGTAGTCAAAACCTGATTTACACTACATATAAACATTGATTTTTATAAATTGGAGCGTAATTAAGTTTAGTTTTGTGTGAAGAACACTAACACTTCACCGAGTTTAACTCAATGTGAACGCGGCCTTGAATGTTTTGATCTCTCACCACTTTCTTGTTCTCTGTGTGCCTTGGAGATCGGTGTTTTATTTAATTCCGATTTTTTTTTCCTTTTTGAGTTCATGCTGTTTTGTCCCTTATTTTTGTTTGTTGCCGGTATTTTTTACCTTTTTATTAATAAACGACTATTGAACATCGGTAAACTAATGCTACATATTACTGATAGTATTTAATTTAATGCATTTTTTAAGGTAAGTTTTGTCAAAAAGCACTCCTTGACGGTTACACAAAAGAGAAATCCTTAAATTACGCATTATATATATATAACGGAATTACACAAAGTATGTCGCTTTGATTATCTTACCGATGTTCATCGTATTATCATATGTACTTACATGGATAGCTTAATCTCCTTTAATAATAATTATGAGACTAAAAATATATTGACATGGTTTTATATGACAACTGGAAAATGTATCATTTACATACGGAAAAAAAATCCCAAAAGACATCACAGAAACTGTGTTTCTATTTCCTTTATTTTAAATTAGATTATACAAGTGGTAATATTTTTAAAAACAAAATGAAACAATGATTCACAAATCACAAACCTTGCTTAAGGAAGTTTTTATTTTGTTTCAGTTTTCATTTATTTCTATTATGTATAAAAACAAAGTGTCAATTATCAATAACTAAACTGAAGCGGCAGACAAACTATATTTAAGTAGAGACCTGAATCTTTTTAACAATTGCAGCTTTTGTAAATCTGTAAGGTATATTTACGAAAATGGCATTTAAATTGATAATCTTTTTAACTTTTTTTATCGGTTTGTATTTAAATTATGAGTTTAAATGTCCCTATCCTATCTTACCTCTTTCTTTTCGTGCTTTAACCGTGAACAAAATATGATAATTGCTGTATGGGTACTGACTTTTAATGAGTTCATGTCTAATGACCATATTTGTTAAACATTGTGGTTGAATTATTGATGACCTATGGCTAACATTGCCTTGAATGCATAGGTTATCAAACGGATAAATGAGACCAGTGTTGAAGTACTTATGCACATAAACTTTTAACAGCAATTATCATTTCACATTTTTTATTTCTTTTTCGGTAAAGTAATCGAGCATCGTAATATAAAGACCTGTGTTGTTTCTGAATCAATTTGTTATATTAGCGTTATACATTTTATACTATAGATCCATATATACTGGAAAAAACATATAGTATATTTTACTTATATATCCGGGATCAGACCATTTGTTTGAAGCAATATATGTGTAGGACTTTCTGTTTCCCGAGGCAGGCTGTCATCAAGTAGTATGTGGTTTAAATGTGACGGATGTGACGAATGATATTGTCAGGTGTGTAGAAACAATACAGTGTGAATATGGTAATAGACACGGGTAATAACCATCTTTAAAGATTTAGTAGACTGTTTTTTTTCATATATGTTGTGCTTACAACAAAGGTTCCGCCTCATTTTTAGACTTATACCTCGGATTTGACATAAGCGGTCATCTCAGTAGCAGAATCTATGACAAACGAGACGATTTTGATTTTGAAATTATAAAATCCCCCACCTAAGCAGCAATATATCAACTTTACCTGCATATGGGATATACATTTCTCAACTCAGTCGGTAGTCCAGAGCTTGCAGCTACTATTCAGACTTTATAACACGTCACCAGTGTCTGTACAGAAAGTTGATGAACCAAGTTTTTTTTTAAAAGAACGTCTCGTCCTTTTTCTAATAAAAGTTCATCAGAAGATACTAAGACCTTGTTGAAAAATATTCCCCATCAACTTTACAAATATTACATGTAGGTCTTGAATATTAGATTCTAGATACTGATGTTTTTTATCATCCTAATTACGTACAACAGTTTGCTTTTTATTTGTCTTTGTATATTTTTAACCTTTATTGTTTAGTCCATTGTTGGTGTTATCTTTTTGGCGTGACTCGATATCTATATATCCCGCCATTGTGTTATTGTGTTATGGTAAATTTTTGTATTCTTGTCTTTCATTTTTGCTTATGTGCTTTGTCTATAAAGTCCATATATGTCATTAATTTGTTTGTTGTTGATATAGTTGGTTTTTATAGTATGTAAGATGACTGCTGTATCAAAATTTTTGATACTTTTACCTATTATATCTGTTTGTTTTGCTCACACATTGTTGTCAATATTATGGAATTCTATGCGTCTGTCATACAAGTGAGAGGTTTAACTAGCTATAAAACCAGGTTTAATCCATCATTAGGAAATGCCTGTACCAAGTCAAAATCTGACAGTTGTGTTCCATTCGCTTGATGTGTTTGAGCTTTTGATTTTGCCATTTGATAGGGACTGTCAATATTATGGAATTCTATGCGTCTGTCATACAAGTGAAAGGTTTAACTAGCTATAAAAACAGGTTTAATCCACCATAAGGAAATGCCTGTACCAAGTCAAAATCTGACAGTTGTTTTCCATTCGTTTGTGATGTGTTTGAGCTTTTGATAGGGACTTTCCGTTTTGAATTTTCCTGGGAGTTCGGTATTTTTGTTATTTTACTTTTTTTTATACATGAAATGAAGTTACTTAAATATAATTTTCCACTGCTTTGCAGAATTGTTTGGGAAAGCGGATATGCGTAATTGCAGTTTCTGGCATCCTAAGATAACAAACGCAGGATTTACTAAGTATGATATTTCATGAATTTTCAATAAATAACGCTCGTAAATGTTATTTTTGTTTTCGTGAGGATGACCGTAACTGAAAATAGGAGATACTCCTTACTTTTCTAATAGAATTTTTAAAGGTCTGTTTTTACTTCAGACACTTTCGATTTTCCTACTATTAACCGTTACTACCCTTGAAAGTTAGTAATGAACTGTTTAGAACAGCGTCGTTACCAAAACATTCGTTTTTAATATTATATCTCCGAAATCATTCTTTTTCGCATGTAGATGACATAAAACATATTTCTTACTTAAAAAAAATTATAAGAAAAGGAATTCTGTATAAAATCATGCCCATTATTAAACCTATCTTGCCATATTTTGAAGTCGGCACACTAGAATACCGTTTTTTTTGTCATTTATGAGATGATTTTAGGTCGGAGTCTGAGGTGTTAAACCTACCCTTTGGTAACACTGTTTAGACTAAAGAATATTTTAAAAGTGCGTTTCTATGTATGTTTGCGTTTGCTTTTGTTGTAGTTCATTGTTTCTGTTGTTCCGTTGTTTTCCTCTTGTAGTTGATGTGTTTCCCTTGGTTTTAGTTGTTACCCGGATTTGTTTTCGCTTAATCGAATTATTACTATTGAACAGCGGTATACTTTTGTTGCCTTTATTTTTGAATGATAACAGCATAAGTCTGAAAACGCTTTTTTTTAACCCGCCATTTTCTACAAAAAGGCCTATACCAGACGGTCAACGATTACTCATACTAGTAAATGATTGATAATCGATTTTGTAGCAATATTATATAATCGATTAGCAATCGATTACTTAACTTTCTACTGTGTTCTTGATTGCAATCGATTCTTGTATAATTTCGATTACAGAAGTATATAAACAAATTCATTACAATACTTTATATAGAAGTTCAAGTGTATAACAGAAAGTTGTTTTCTGGAAGGAATTTAATAATGTTGATCCAAATGATTCACAAAGAGCTTAAATACTTGGTTTTCTACTATTAATAATGAGCTTAGTTGAAGGCCGTACTGTAACCTATAATTGCTTACTTTACCTACATTGTGTCTTGGATGGAGAGTTGTCTCATTGGCACTCATACCACATCTTCTTATTTAAATGAGCTTTCTAGCAATAACACGCACTAGGGCTTCTGTTGTTTCTTTGAATCATTCAAACCATATTTTGCATGTGGTTTTGTTACAAATTTAGTCAAACTTGTTTTCTCCTTTATCCTATCACAAGTACTGATATCTGTGTTTTCTGTGTAAAATACAAATGACACATATTTGAGCATTGAAAAAATATGAGAAAAATAGCTCGTTATAGTGCATTTACTTAGTTGGTATTCCTCCAATAATGATAGTTTAAAAATCATTTGGTTGTATACAAATTTTCTTTCATGTTATAGTTTATATCAATTTAGCAGCTTACATTTTTATGACATAATAAGGATTAATCATATTATCTTGACACCTATCACCTCCAAACAATGTATACCCCTAAGCTGTAAATGATTATGTACATATAAAACTGAGAATGGAAATGGGGAATGTGTCAAAGAGACAACAACCCGACCAAAGAGCAGAAAACATTCAAGGCCATCAATGGGTCTTCAACACAGCGAGAAAATCCCGCACCCGGATGCGGGCTTCAGTTGGTCTCTAAACAAAAATGTGTATATGCACGGATTAAAGACATCATTTATACTAGGGATGATGAAATAAATCAAAGTCTACATTTGACAAAACATCATCCTGTGTGCATGTTGTTTATAACTTATACACAATGATAACACGATTATAAAACCCTAATGGAAGGGATTTGGTTTGAATTTCTATAGGGTGAAGGCATATTTTTTTCTATCAGTTCACTTGAGGTCTGGAGCTGGCATGTCAGTAACTGCTAGTAGTCTTTTGTTTATTTATATCTATCTTTGTATTTTTACTTAGTTTCTTACGTTGCCTTTTCTAACATTGAACTCGGACTTCTCTTAATTGGATTTTATTGTACGAATCACTGTTTTTTTTTTTATTCTACATTGGCTGGAAAAAAAGGGTGGAGGTTGAGATATCACAAAACATGTTACACCTCGCCGCATTTTTGAGCATGTCTTAAGTCAGGATCTCTAGTCTTTGTTAGTTTTGTATGTTTATTAATTTTGGTTCATCTATATGTTTCGGAGTGTAGAGTGGTGTCCATTTTTCCGATCTGGTATACATGATTGTCTCGGCGCCTGCTCACGCCCGCCTCTGGGTACGGGATTTCTCGCTATGTTGAAGGCCTAGGTTTCTTTTGTACATTCCCCGTTTCCATTCTTTATTCTAATGTATATACAATTTTTTTACATTTCAAATATTTCATTGAATAAATCAAAAGAATTGAATAATTGGTTTGGCCTATATGTATCATCTCCAATTTCAATATGGAACATCAAACAAATAAGTCAAAACAAAATTTAATATAATAGATATACATTAACATGACAAGAAAATTTGGATGTTGTCTGCACACGTCCAGATATGAAGGTTTGGTAATATTTGCACTTGACTTATAAAGTTCCATCCTTTGGGATTTCTTCTTGAAGTTCAGTAATAGTTATACACCGAGGGATAGGTGTGTCTGGATAAGAAACCCTGTCGGCCGGAGGCCGGAGGAGTTTCTTATCCAGACACGCCGTATCCCGAGGTGTATAACTAGCTTACACCCCATTCTAAACCCTAAATTTGTTAACATTGATTATTAAATGAAAAAAAGACACGATAGCATATTTATTGACAATATCAAACCATGATTTTTAAAAATATTTTTTTTGATTACATGAAACCCCACTAGTAACCTTT